GCAGTTTGACGTCGGTACCTGGCACCCACACGTCACGCTTCTGCATGCGGGTATCGCGAGGCTTATAGCAAACGGGCACCAAATGGCTTGGGAATCTTTCGCGGTGTACGCTTAACAAATCTTTCTGTATTCGCGATTGTGCTGCGCGCTTGCTGCTCAACACCAAATCCTCTGGATGCCACGCGCAAAGGAAGTCCTCGTAAGACTTCGCTCGGATGCGTTTACGCAGCGTCTTGTTTTGCTCGGCATCACTGAGGCCCCTCAATGCCGCCTTTAAGTCTCTTACTTCGTCCTTACTGCGGTAGTCAGCATTGATTTCCACTGCATGGTCTGCCATTCCTTTTAACCATTTATGGGGCATTTCTCCGCAAATGGGAGGAGGTTGGCATGGATCTCCGGCAAATATAACTTGACACTTTCCGCGGAGGAAGTCTACAAATTCCTGCARGATTTCTAATGGCACGGTGCAAATCTCATCCCATAATATAACCGACGGTATGTCGCGTATTGCTTCCGGCACCCACTTTTGACCGTTCCAGCGAAAGAAGCTGTGGTACGTTTGCGCGTCGTGGCCCATCTCCGTCAATTCCCTCTCCAGACGGTGTGTCGGCGTTAACACCTTCACGCGGGGGAATAATTCCAAAACCCTGGTAGTTTTACCACTGCCTCCCGGCCCGTACAGGTACGAAAAGCGTTGGTAAGAAATGGGGTCCACAACGGATGGCAATGGCTCCACGGTGGGGACGGTGGCACCTTTTACGTGTTTCCCGTGGTATTCCACACGTTCTCTCCAGGCTTTTATCTCTTCATCTTTCACACGCCATTGACCACTTTCCGCGAGTTCATCGGCCGTGTAAAACTCTTGCATTCTTTCTAACACTTCGGGCTTCACATAGAGGGAATCCGTGGCCACGCGTGGGATATCCTCTTTGTCAAAACGCAACAGCATCGCAAGGAGATTGATATGTGCATATGCAAGCATGCTCGCCCGGAGATGGTAATATTGCGGGCGATGATCTTGGTAATAACACAACGCATTCCATTGTCGTTCACCTTTACCTTCTATGAAATAATTCCACTTCTCTACGGACACCATCGTTCCTTGCTCGTGTGCACGTTTTACGAGGAAGCTCAACTCTCCGTCATCGGTTATCAAACGCCGCTGCATGTGCTTTTCTCCTTCTTTTGCACCCTGGGTGAACTTTCCTATGACGATCCTAGCAGTGGGGTTATGCTCCGGTAACCATTGCGTGAAGGCGGAGTGACAAAGTATGGCTTCATGCGCCGTGTACGTGAGCAGC